AGGAAACATGCATCTTCGTTTGGGATGATTTTAATCCATACTGAAGATAGCTTTTTATTTTTATATAATTTTGACAGTAATTCATCCGTGTTACTGTAATCAGTGTAATAAAACCACTTCTGAATATAGTGTTTTTGTATATTTTGTATCTGTTATATTACCAATAAAGAAAACTATCGGACTTCCCGATGATAATTGCGATGAAACTTCCATTGGTGACGAAGCTGTGAGATAAACTGCAGGCGCAAAGCGTGGGTTTCGAAATCGCCGACAATCCTCAGAACAGCGTATATAACTAGGCATGCATGTCCGTAATATTTCCAGTAATAATCTGGTAAACGTACTGAATTTGCACATATACTGGTGAACATATGTACACCAGTTTATTGGTGGAATTGGTGAAGCATTTCTTTAAAGGTTGATAATGCCACGATATACTGACCGCTGTCCATCATGGTGCCTTTGTTATGTAATGACTTTTGCGTTTGGTTAGGCACTTTACTAGGAGTTCCTCTCGTTTATTTGGTTTAGGGGTTACTGAACTTTACATTCGCTTGTTCCACAATGCCGTTGGCTACATATTTCTTTTATGGATGATGATGTCACGCTTCATTGAAACTAAGGAATGTATGTAGAATTGCCTGGAAAGGGAGGATACCGGCGAATCAACTGGCCTGTATGCTTCCCGGACCTAAGTCCCATGAAGCACGCATAGGGCATTATGGGGAAACAAACTACAGCTTTCACAGCTTTGCTGGTAAACAAACAAGGCCTAATTCATACTCAAAAACAGAAATAACAATATGCCTCAGAAACTCTTAAATCACTAAGCAATGAGCTTGCCACTGCGTTGTGAATGCTCCCTCATAGTTCGAGGTGGAGATATTCCCTAATAACAACACAAATTTACTCGATATTGATTAGCACTTTTCATCCATCCTTGGCCTATGAGCAAGTTCTATGAGTAATTTTCTGCAAAAGGCCTCGCTACCACTACTTTGGTTTATTATTTACGCCAGGTTGTTAGTTATTTCCTCGTCTTAGGCATTATAAAATAAATAGCTTGACATATTTATCTTCTTTCACGTACAATTTTCTCTATATGCGAAAAAACGTCGGTCATTCTGAAGTTTTGTATGAATTTGTACCATTACAAAATAACAATTGTTCTAAATGGTAAAATGGTAAAATTCATTTTTCCTAGCGAAAATACTGCTATATTGAAATTTGCTATCTCCTTCATTCGTTTTTATAAGATTTTCTTCTAAGCAGACTATACGCTCGGAGAGCGCTGGATAAGTTCTAAGCTTAATTGTGACCTAATATTTATTGGTTAACAAAAAACAAAAAAAAGATTGCATTATCTTTCGGAAATATGAAAACGAATGCAAGGACCACTAAAAATTGTCCGCTTACTTTTGCGAAGCAGCGAAATGTTGCTAGTTAGCAATGTCTGTGAATATCCAAAATACCACACGTCGATCGGTGATTGAGTTCTTGACGAAACAAAGCATAATACTGGAGAATATTTACGCATCTGTGGTTTGAGGTTTATAGTGGTACTGTTCCTTCATAAAGACTGATTGCCATGATTGGGCAAGAAGGAACATCACTCAAAGATGGCCTTAGAAAAAGAAGCATTGTAGCCATGAAGGCTGAATAATGTAAACGAAAGTCAATGAACATGTAATAAAAAATCGATGTATGACATTTAGTTAGACTGAAATGGAAATAGGCATCAGTGTTCGACTGGTGGAAAAAAATCTTGCATATTAAAATCCAGATATGCCGGAGATCTGCGCCAGATGCCTTGGTCGCTGAAGCTAGAAATGAAAAAAAAAATTCAGCTGGACCGTTTTTGAGAGGTGCTGTCTGTTACAACTGTAAAGAAAGACAATTTTTATCCACGTTATTAAGAGCACGTGACACGTAGATTCATCACTGAATTCCGAATATTCAAAAAAAGACCATGATGTGAATTCACAGTGGACGGAAAAGAAGAATTTATTTGCCATAAATAAGAAAAAATAAAAAAGTCATAAATAAATTCATAAAAAATTAATAAATGAATTCATAAAAGAAGAATTTATTTTCCATTTTCAAGATGAAGAGAATCCGTTGTTCATTGATTATTTGCCAAGCAACAATATTACACCTGATTTTTGTTATGCCAAGTTTTTGCGTCAAATAAGATTAGTTACAAAGAAAAAATGGCATGAAAACTCAACAAAAAAATGTTGATTTTGCATTAGAGTGCATCCGTACACAGGGCCTAGATTTCTCACAATAATATGTATCAATGAGCATTTCTGCTTTTCGTCATCCCCGATATTTTCCAGACTTGACTCCAGGTACTTTTCTTTCTTATCAAAGATTGAAACTACACTCGTGTGATTCATAATACAGAGACGATGATGATGTGAAAGATGCTGTTCAAGAATATTTTCAAATTTGTGACAAAGCATTCTTTTCTACTACAGTTATAACTAATGGAAGTGCTACGTGCACTGAAGTCAAGGTATACTACTTTAAAAAACTGAGCATGTTATGCTATTTTGGGCATTTATTCCTCGTAAGTATGTTAGCTTAAAACTTATCGGGCTTGAATGGGCTTATGTTGTAATCAAGACTTAAATGTCGGAACAATTTCCCATTTCACACATTTTCAAAATGGTCAATGCCTGAACAATACAAGATTTAACAGTTGGTCAGTTTTATATTAATATTAAGATCATAAATTGTGCAATAATTTGCAGTAAACTTCAAAAATCCGAGACTTACAAAGTTCGAAATAATACAATTATATATAAGCATATCCAGACATTAAAGGTTTGCGGATTTAAAAGCATTTAAAATGCAATAAAAATTTTCCTTAATTAATAAAAAACACTTTTCTTGTGGTTATTGTTGCTGTTAAGATTATTCTAGCTCAGCGGTACCCAACCTTCTGCTCGCCAGCCCGATTACGTACTACGAACAAAAATATATTTTAAAAATAACCATTCATTTATATTTCTTAATTGTTAAAATATGGTAAGCATTTACAGTCATAAGAGATGTATTCCCTATCTAGATGTGACTCTGTTTTTTTTTTTTTTTTTTTTTTAAATTAGACTTAATAAATGTCTGCAGGGCGGACATCATACTGCAAGGGCTTGTTCCCGGTCAGTAGTCCTCCTTAGCAGTGTAAAAGTAAAAAAAAAAAAAAAAGTCATAAGAGATATCTTGCAAGACGTTATAAAATAATTGATTGCTGAATGATGAACTTGATAGCGAATATGGAATCTTATTGCTCCATTAGATGTTTAGATGGCTCAGCAGGGAAAAAGTACTTCAATGGTTTGTAGAATTTCTTTCGACAATAAAGTAGTTTTTGGAATCCGGAAACGAAAGTTATAAAGAATTGGACAATAATAATTGGTTATCCGATCTGTATTTTCTCACGGATATAACAGCTAAACTGAACAATCTGAACGAAGATCTCCAGGGAAAAGAAAAAACCCTTTTTCAATTGACTGGGACTGTAACTGCTTTTCAGATAAAGTTAAATTTGTGGATAAATCAGAGGAAAGAAAACAATTTCTCCCATTTTTCAGAATTTATCAAGCCATATTAATAACCACAAGGCAATTGAAACAGAGAAATACTCGAAAAACCTAAATGCACTGAAAATAATTTTGAACTCTGCTTCTCTTTCCATAAAGTTCAACCAATTTTATTATTAATCTCAAACCCCCTTGCCGAAATTAATATTTCAGATGTATCACATATGATTGGAAATATGTTTAACAAAAATGTTGATGTTTTGGAAATGTGCTCGCCATAGGCTAAAATGGACTTGCGAGAGACCAAAGTTTGGGCATCATTGTTCTAGCCTTTTTCCTAACTAAATTATGTTGCAACTTTACGTTTTATTAGCATTTATTATAGTTTATTTTCGTTTCTTTTACAAATTTAAATTCTAAAATATTTTTTGCGAAAAGTCTTTTGATTTGAAATTTGAATTTAATAAGATTTTTTCTGCTTTTGAGATATTCTCAAATTAGAGAAACACAAAAAAATCTTGGGTAGAAACTCTTTTCTTGGAAAATATTTAATGCTTTAATTCGTGTTACAATATGCTCCTACAATTATTTCACCATCAAATTTTCATCTTCTTCTTAATTATAAAGATTGCTCGAATTCTTCATAGCCCAACTTCCAAGCTATTTTCTCTTTTGTTAACGAAATTTATTGTTCAATAGTTAAAAATCCCGTATCAGATTTGAATCCTTTTTCAAAAGGGGCTTTATCTGTCTAACTTTGAAATTCTACATTAACGAGCAAAATCTCAAGTCAGGGAAAATGAAATTAATAAAACTTGAATCTCTAGTCATCAGTTTGCTCAATTAAATAATTATTTAAATTTTTGCCCCTCAAATTAACTAAAAAGTCCTTTTAGTTGGTAAATAAAATTCATTTGAAGTTTTACACATTCACCAAAATCAGCTTCAGTTCTAAGATAAGTCATACCTAAAAATGCTTCCCATTTCCTTGTCCTCCAATACCATACTCCCTCTGAATTTTAAAGAGATATAGTTGTGTGGAGAATGTTGAGAGCAACGAAGAAAGATAAATGTAAGATTTCTACTAAAATACAAAGGCTATGTATGTAAATCAAGACCAAAGCTTGAAATTTTCTTAATTCTGAAGCTAACTTGCTTCTTATGAGATTCCACTTAGGATACGTAACTGAAAAATACTTTGCCAAGCATTTTCATTTGTATTTTTGAAAATTTTCAATGGGTTTCAAACTTCTTCCTTGAAGTTACGGAAATTTCTCTTAAAAAGTTCTTTAAAAATATATCAGTTGTCATTTTGTAGTAAATAGCATGCCCTAAATCATTGCTAACAAAATATAAAATAACTCCGTACTATGTAAATTCTGATGCTAGTTTTGAAAATTTTATCCATGTATTTACTAAAAAATGAAAGAATTTTCGAACTATTTCATTACTTACTCATTTTGTACATCAACTGTAGTAGAAGGCAGATGAATACCATTAGTTTTCTTTTTATCATTGTTTCCTTTAAAGCCACTTGAGACCACTACTCTACGTCCACTAATTGAAAACACGGACGAATCATTAGAGGTTTCTGTCTCTTTCTTGAGCACTTTACTATCGACTTTAGTGACATTAAGTGATCCATAACTGTTAGGACATAAACTTGGAAGATTTGGATAGGGTCGTCTAACATCTGGAGCACTATTTGAATGACTTAAAGAAAGTGCTGAGCTTCTGAGTAAACTTGTATCCGGTAAACAAGTTTTGCTTAGATTAACTTTACTTTTGACTTCAACTTTTGACATCTTACTTGTCTTCGATTCTTGACATGGGGCTGCATTTCCGTGACAGTGTCCATTTTGAGTGACTTGAGCATAAATATGTACTTGATTGGGTTTGTTAAAATTTTGATTTCGGTCAACTGTGAATTGCAGTGCAGTCTCATTAGGTGGAGATAAGGTTAGCAAAGATGCGTAATCAGCGGATGGCACAGCGTCTAAAGAATCCATTTGCGTTAATGGAATTCCTGAGTTCTAAGTTTTAAGGACCTGTAACGAAACAATAAGTTAAAATAAAATAAATTACAGTTACAGACTATTTCTATTAAACAGATAATAAATGCATGTAATTTATTCATATTAAAAGTATAACTTACATAATAATTTATTATATCAATAGACCTTAAAAATACCTTTTACTTCCTTTCTAATATACTACTACCAGAGAAATTAAAAAAATTAAATCATTTAAAATTCTCATCTCCATCACTTCTCTTTCCGAATTTGGTGGCCGAGTGTCATTTAATCGAAATATTAATAATATATATATATATATATTTTGCTTTGGATGAAAATTATTCTTGTTCTATATTATACCAATATTTCTTTGTACCTATTATTTAGATCTACATTATAAAAAGGCATATTGGTTAGAGTAGACTGAAGGGTACCCGTTGTGTTATCGCGAAACTGTTGTTTCATTTATCGCCAAGTTGTTGGACGTGTACATGGATAAAGTCAAGGGAGTGCGCAATGCCTAGTTTGTGCAATTCTGTAATGTTTTTTTTAAGTGAAATTAGGTCAATGTGTACATGGATACCGAGTTTGTGCAATTGTTTGACTTCTCTTTCTTGTTATTTTGTCTTTGTGTAGCGGCGAAATCGCCGCTACACAAAGACAAAATAACAAGTCAAAGAATTGCGCAAACTCGGTATCCATGTAACGCCAAAAATCGCCAATGTAACTTTACAATGTACTTTATAATATTCAACCAAAACTGCTAGAGACTCTTGTATCATGGTACAAAGACACATTCACCAATCACAAAAGGGATCTCAGTTTATTCCTGAACAGTAAAAATAAATAAGAAATAAAAGACAAAAATAAATTGCCATTTTATTGTCCTTCACCTTTTGTAAGAGTACGTATTAAAGGGAATTTGTGCCCCCCCCCCAACTGACGTGTTCGTTGGCAGTTTGCTTCATTTCTTCTGCACCAGTATTTTTTTTTCTTCATTTTTTTAGCGTTTATTATTTTGTGTTTGCGCAGTTTAGTTTCTTATTGTCACACTTGCTCTGGATAATGGAAATTGGTAACATTAAATACTTTTATTTCCTCTTGTATATATATTTAGAGTACTTCTTTAAATGTAAAATCTTCTTTTGCGTGTAAAATGTTTACAGGTGTAATAGGAAGTAATTCATTGTTATTGTAATATGAAACAATTCGTAACACTTTTATCAATAAAAATGCATTTTGTTAAATTTACTATAAATAATTTTTATAAGCAATTTTTATAAGCAATTCATATTTTAACTACAATGAATCCACTTGTTATCTTTACTTCCAGAGCGTGGAACTCTGAGGCTTCTGCGTTTCTGTCACGCACTATTTAACACTTAGCATGAACATCCGCAGTTGCCGATCCTCAGATGGAGTAACTGAAGGTCATTAAACCGCAGCGTGCTAATGCATTCACTTCAGAGTGCAAAAATGAGAAAGTGCTAAAAGTAAGGGGAAAACGATACAGCATATAATTAAATTAAGAGTTTCGAAATATACTCCACTTGATTAACTTTATTAGGTGCATCAAAGCAGTTTATTTAAATTTGGATATTAATTTAAAACGAAAAATTTTACAACGTTATTAATTCAGATTAATTCAATTTCACCAGAAAGAAGAAAAATGAAATTATAACCTTTTTTTAAAATCTGGGAAATGAAATAGTATGCCACAGCTACAGAAGAAACTCTAAAGTATTGTGAAAAGTTTCAATCATTCCAGGAGATTTTATATACTTTTCAAACAATTTTTGTATACAAAAACACAAAATAATTATTCCCATAATTTAAGTTGTATTTTAAGCTAGCATTTAAGGCCAAGAGTTCTCAAAATAACGGTCTCAAAAGTATTTTAAATTTTATTTTTCATAATTAGGTAACTTCAGATTTTATCTAAGAAAGTATTAATGAATAGTTTTTATGGTCCCTGTCTGAAGAGTTATTCACTAACGTATTTCCAAAAATTGCCTTGTGTTACTTGTACGGTTATTTATTTGTACAAAAGTATTAATTTATTTTTTAATAAATCTTACATATTCATAATATTATATGAACACATTGCAGCTTTCGATAATTAGGTCTCTATTCAAATGAAAGTGTTAAAAAATCTTCATGGGATCAAAAGGGATCACAAGTAGAAGGTTCGAGAAGTTTTGTTATAGCCGATCAAATTCAGAAAAGTCATTTTTCTATGGAGTTAGACGCAAATTTTGCATCTGCGCTAACTGCGTACCCTTCCGCAATTATATTTAACCACATCCATGCTCTTGAAATAAACTGCTGTGTTACATATACCATTGTTGAACCTTCATTCCCCTCATTCTACGACCTTCTCAAACTATTTCAAGCATCATGAACACAAGACGGAACTAGGATCATTAAGACCATGGTCCCGTTCAATTTCATTATTTTATTTTTATACATTTCAGAAGCTTCAGGTATAAAATAATAATGTTCTTGTTTCTCACATATTCGGGTAGTTATACTGTCACAACTGAAAACAGATAGTTAAATGAAAACACATTTTCCATTTTGTAATTACAGCTTATATGGATAATATATCTTCGATGTCTCTGTAACGACCAAATGAATTTTTAAGTCCTTAAAACCAGCCAGGCCTTCGATTTAAAACATGCTAATTTTAAGACTATACATGTAAACTTTTGATATTTCTTTAGAAAGTTATATTTTTATAAAATTAGAAGATGTAGAGCTTCGAAGGAACTTGCTTATCTCATATATGTTCACAGATTTCTTGTAATGCACAGACGAATAAGACTTTATAATTTTTCTAACTAATATATGGCAAAGGGGAAATTTAAGAAACCTAAAAGCAAATGGCAAAGTAAATTTGTATTCATACGCGCAAATATTCCTGATAAAACAAAGAAAAGGTGTGGTGTATTTAATTATGGCAAAGCACACTAGGGCTATCTGCCTAACGGGAGGGATGCCTTCGTGGAGGACTTTCTAAGGGTAACTGGCTCGTATACACGTTACACATGGGGAAAACCACGAAAGCACCCATGCAGCCAGCCCGTTCGCGGGATTCGAACCTCGGACCGAACTACCAGTGTTTAGCGACTTTACCGCTCGGCCGCTGGTGGTCCCAAAGAAAAGGTAACATATAAGGACATAAAAACTTTATCTTCCTCACCTACGATTTACAACAAATATTTAAAATATTTTTCAACAGTTTATCTGTCTGATATAAAAATTCCAAAGCAACGATCAAACAAGATTACTGCATTGAAGAAGAAATTAAATAATGAAGAATCTGCATAAATGTATGCATGTTTCTCGCATTGTGATAAAACAACGGTACCTAGAGCCATTCAGTTTTGAATGACGTAATCCTACTGCGAATATTGGCATCTGAAAGCCCAAATTTGAAATTTGGAATTTGTTTTATTATCGATTTCATATTTTGTAAACCTTTAACGAATTTTTGATTACCAAACTCAACGATTTAAAAGCGAGCGGGGGGGGGGAAATCTTTTTATCATTTCCAGCTCACAGAAGTGTGCATTGGAAATTCTAAAGATATGCTCATTTTAATATTATTATGCGGCATTACTGTTGAACTGAATTTTATGGTTTAAGTGCAAAAAACGTGATATTTAATAAATAAAGGTAACACCCAAAACGTCAAAAGAACGCTCCTTTGGACATAATTTAAAATCTGAAGCTTTTCAGTTTTTTTTTTTTTTTTTTTTTTTTTTTTGTTGTTGTTGTTGTTGTTGTTGTTGTTGTTGTTGTTCTTGGTGTTCTTTATTCAGTTCAAAGATATCCTTCTTCCTTCTTCTTTATTCCTTTCGCTCTATTCATAAAAAATTCATATATCTCCTCACCTTCTAGAGCTTAACTGTATATTTCAGATAAACTTAAAAATATTTAACACTTCACCGTCAAGGTGACTGCAATTGAAATCCATCAGACGAGTTACATTAAATCGCATTCTTGGGTATTTAATTGAAGTTCAAAAACATTTCCAATTCATCTTCATTGTGATTCTAACCTAAATAATAGAGAACTGGGTGATCTGCTATTTGATGTTAACCTAAATTCGAAGCGTAGTGAAACAAATCTGATTGTCTTTCATTACTGATGAAAAGAAAAATTTCCTCAATTAAGAAGTTAACCTCGAAGAATATTCGTTTTTGAAAACTGATGATGTATTTTGCAGGAATTATTTTAGACTTAGAAAAATAATAATTATTAAAAATTTGTATATAAATTAGCTTTAAAAATATTCACTTAACTATTAACATGGAGAAAAACGTTAATAGACAAATATAAAGATATCGTTTAAACATTAGACTTGCTATTGAAGGAGATTATTTAATTGTGAATTTTTACTTGAATGCATCCATAATCAGTCTTCGAAGGAGCTTGTCACTGACTCCCAGAAAAGGGCATTTCATTTCGTTTCGAATCAAAATGATGAATCCCAAAGAACAAATGTCGGAGGATCTTTTGATTTAAATTGTAAAGTAGAATATCAATTCAAGCTCAATTCTTACTCTGGGAAATTCTGAAGAACAATCCTTTCTGTACAAAATTAAAATATAAATGTTACTGGGAATTTGGAAGGTGTAGGAACAATTCCAGACAAGAAATATAAAACTTCAATCCAAAGAGCTTTGCAACACTGTTATCTAAAATTTAATTTTAAAGGTTTATTGTACTTTCCTGATGATATAAATTTCAAAACGAAGTGCAGATACTTAGCAAGTATGTAATATTTGTCCACCCAATATTGAAATATTTTTGCGATTTTGGTATCATCGTAATTGTTAAAAATAGTTAGCACTAATAGAAGGAATTTCTAGGAGTGGTAGAAATTCTGCTACTAAGAGAGTATAAATTAGTTCTATGTGAAAATCAAATTTTTCGTAAAAGTAAAAATACTTCCACCGTCTAATTACTTGTATTATTATGGAATTATTAAACGCTGCTCAATAAAAAAAAAGGGAGAATTTTTTTTT